GAAAATAGAGAACAAATGAATGAATGGATGTTTTTTTTTTTATAGTTTCAACACCTACACTTCTTTGATCAAAGGTATTGCCCATTACTTACATATTCGTCGTGTTCAATGCGAGAAGTGGCCGCAGTTAGCTTCACTGTCGCGCGAATCAATGGCTCGCCTACGCTGGTGGGGACCTTGTGTTTTTCGCCACTTCAAGTCTTGACGCTTAGATTGCCAGTTTCCGTAACTGAACAGCAAACATGAGCTCACAGTATGGTACTATGTAATCATATTTTCTACAAAGAGACCACATGCGCTCCTTGTAGGCATGAGTGAAAATTTCTTAGAAGGATACGATCGACTGCAGTCCCAGCCGTTCATCTTACATATCAAGCACTTCTTCCCCGAGTTGTTCTTATCGCGCTTGTATCATCATCATCGTCATCATCAAATACTGGTCCTTGGCATCAATTTGGTTAAGATTGGAATCGCCTCATCCGTCGGTTCATAGCAACAATTCTTCCAGGTTGCTTGATTTCGAAATACTTCATTGAAATGCGATGGGAACAACTCATGGAGATCAATTGCATTTGTTGTGGTTATGTTTTTTTAATGTCGAGTAATACATGGTCAGTTGCCAACGACATGGAGTTCAACGTCTCCAAATGCCGAGTTCTTTCCATGCGACATAAGACTCGTTTCTCCTACGTTCTGGGAAACCAAATACTACCGCATGCCACTGATGAAAGGGATTTGGGAGTTATGGTATAGGAGGACGTAGGATGTTCTAAGCACCTTGCCAGAGCATCATCTATGACTCTAAAGCAGATGGGACTACTCAGACGTTTTCCGGCAGTTCGAAAGAGCACTGTTCCCACGCTTGTTATCAGCGTTCTTTCGGCCGCACACGGAGTACGCCGTTCAAGTATGGAATCCATGGTTAAACCGCGACGGGAAGGCTCTAGAAAGTCCGCAAAGGCTGGCAACTAAATTGGTAAAAGGTCTATATAACAATACATACTCCGAACGACTGCAAATATTGGGACTCTACTCATCCCAATTTGCTTCGACATTCCAATCTTCACTTCGCTCTTTTATCCAAATGGGCAACCAAAACCGATGCACGAAAGTGCATGGTTAATGGTTGTAAAAACTGAAACTGAAACATCCCAATACCGCCGAATTCGAGGGGACCTAATATTGGCAAATCACATACTGCATCAACCCAATCACCTTTGCCGTTCTCTGCTGACTTTATCTCATAATGATCACCTCATGGGACATCCACTAAAGGTGAAGACCCAGAACAGCCACCTTGATTGCCGGTATCACTCGTTTGCAGTCAGAGTGTGCGGCATATGGAATTCTTCTCATCTGATGTGTAGCGTGTGCTCCTACAGTGGAACTATTTAAATCGCAACTTAATAAAGCATTGGAACACTTAAAATTTCAACATTCGTGAGTGATCACGCACATCATTATCATTGTTATTTTCTCTTTGTGAAGTTATTCAAAACATTCTGTAAAATTCCTATGGGGCATGATAAGCTTTAGCTTTGTTAAATCGCCCATAATAAAACTTTGACTTTGACATACGTGTATATTTGTTATATTTGTGCTGTTTAAGCTCAGTGTTTCACACACTATCATATTTTCCCTCGTGTAAATCTCCATTCTGAATGTGCGAGTATTTAGTATACCGGACTAATAACCCTTGAACTGTGCAGTGGTTTCAGCCGCTGTTCTATGTTCAGTTTCTTATTTGAATAACCGGTTTGTTCCTTTGACTAGCCGTTGTCAGTCATTTTTCTCACACCTGTGCTCAGCTGTATCACTGCGGTAAATTGCAAAGAAGTTGTATTGAATAGTTTAACTTCTGGTCTACAGCTGTGGCTGTGACCTAGTCCATCCGTTCATAGTTTCTATCTCCCTAAACTCAGCCTAGTGCTTGCCCACGGACGAACCACTAACCAGTTGGTTCACTCACCGGTTTGTCTATTCGGAACTGGAGCTAAACGGTGTTTTTTTTCGATTGGTTTCAGTATCTCTCGGTCCCCCCTGTGTTGGCACCGTACAAATGTTCTGTGCTACCGCTCTCCAGCCATCCGGACTTTGCCCCATTCGTCCGTCAGTTGTGTAAGTTTCTTCCGTTTTCCCCCACCGGGAGCTCATTTTTTGTACCCTCTCTCCCTCGGATCTCCGGCTCGATCTCCTACTAACTGTCTCTGGTTGAACAGATAGAGAGTGAGGTTGACTGTCGTACTAACATGTGCTTTTCTCGTCACCTTCAACAGTGACGCTCTAATGTAACCCGTAATAACTTTCCATTTTTTTGCGTTGCGCATCCCACGAGGAAGCTGTTGCCCCGTATAAGGAAGGTATTTTAAGCGCGCGCATGCGCACGTGGGGATAAAAATGAGGCTAACCGAGAGTGTCATTCATTGTCACGTGATGAATGCCCTCCCTGCCCGTCAGTGTGTGTGTGTGCACTTTTAGCATTTCTTTCCAAATTGTTTATGCCGTGATTTACGTAGTTTTCCAACTCACGTGTGCGTATGTGACCAAGAAGCAAAAGTCCCTTTTGTGATGAAAAAGGCCCAGTCAATCACTCCTTTGTGTGTGTGTGTGTGTGTGTGTGTGACTCCATTCATGGGCGTTACTTTTCCAACGCACTCGATTGTTTGATCTGTGACTCGTACCATATTGCAGAGAGCAGCCGCAAGGTTTATCGATCTGTTTGTTCCCCCACTAATACCCAAAACCGTGAGCCGATGATGTGCCTTGTGCGCGGATGACCGGCTCTGGCTGAGTCGTTTTTCTCTCTATGTGTGAGTGTTCCGACTCGAGATGGCTGCGCTGAACGATGACTATTCTGTTGTTGATTGGGCTGATTTTTCTTCTTAGATTAGATCTAGATGCACAAGTTAGTTACCTCTTATCTTTTCGATTTACATCAAAGGTAACAGATCTTCTTGTGAAGACCGCGGGTGAATTAGTTTAGTCAGCATTCCCTCTAAACTTCTCCCTGGGTTTGTACTCCGTCGATTGTCTGCCACGTGAAGAGTGCACGCATGAGAAACAGGCCGGTTTTAGACCTGGGCGAGGTTGTGTCGCCCACGTCATCTCTTTTCGTCAAATCCGAGAACACTCCTTTCGATCTTCCTCGAGCTAAAAGTGGTTTTCGACTCAGTCGGCCACTCTAACCTCTGACGCTGTCTGTCTCTCTGAAGGGTGTGCTGGAGAAGTTTATTTCGACCTTACGATCCTGTTATACTAATAGCCGAAGCCGAGTCCGAGATTACGACACTTTTCCGTCCAAATTCACATTGGTAGATGGTGTTCGTCAGGGTTTCCCTTTTTCCATTTCTATTTAACTTTTTCATTGATTTGGTTATGGAAGCAGCCCTATTTTCTTACGAGGATAGTGGCATCGATTTGCTCCCAGAAGGATCTGGAGTATGCGGACGACATTGCACTGATAAGCGAAAATCCAAGTAAGATGTAAGCTCTTCTGGATAGTTTGAGTGCCAGCTTAACCATGTTCGACATGCGTTTTGCACCTTCAAAGTGTAAAATGTTGCCACCAGACTCTGCGTTGGTCCAGCGCCCATCCTCACTGTAACAAGTCAAGTAAAAGAGCAAGTGAACAAGTTTTGTTATTTGGGCAACTATATCTCACCCGGTGGACGCATCACGGATGAAGTGTTTGCGCGCATACAATAAACTCGGTTGTCATTTGCCAACTCAGGCGCCGTCGCGACATCCGGCTGTCTGAGTGCTTGAGTATTTGCTGTGGCAGTTCGGCCAGTTCTTTTACACAGCTCAGAAACTTGGCCAGTAAAAAAACAGGATAGATAAAGATCGTCGATGTTTGGATACCGCTGTCTACGCAGCATTGCACGAATCTGGTGGAGCAGGCGGACGAGCAATCCTGAGGTTAGGCGCAGAGTTTTGGTTAACCGCAGTCGCCCACTAGAGCAAGTGGTCCACCTTCATAGATTACGGTGATTGGGGCGTGTTACGTATGACACCAGATTGGTTGCCACGGCGAGGTATGCTTGCCGAGGCACGTAGTGGGTGGGAAAAAGCCAAGGGTGGTCAAGCTAATACCTGGCACGAGTGTATGAAATCCCTTACCAGGGTACTGGGTCACATAGATCCCGTTAGGCTCCCTGGCTGGGGACCTCGGGCTGATAGTAACCGATGGTTAGCTACACTGAGTGATATGGCTGAGTGTCGCATCTCAATTTCTCTGCATCATTAGTCCACTGAGATTCTCAATTTCCTCTTCGATTCTACCTTCAACGTTTCCTGTCTTTCTCCCAATGTTCATCCAAATGGGCAACCAAAAGACAGCAACCCTATCCGGCGCACCATATCGCATGGTTAATGGTTGTACAAACTGAACTGAACTGAACCGATAACGCTGCTAGTTGGACATACCACGGTGTTGTCTGAATAAATTTGGTGGACTGGTTCCAACGGACGCTTTTTTATTACATATGTTTTGTGTGATGAACAGCAGCTGACCCGGTGGGTGGGGGTGGACCTCATGGTCTGGAAGACCTGTTATTCTGTCATGGAAGCCAGCAACCTAAGCACGGTCGGAATTGGAGTAGTGAACCGCATAAGGCCCCATTATGATAGACGTCAAATTGAACCGGATGACGGCAAAGTTGTCTGCCACTAAAGTTGGATGGCGGTGGTGGAGTTCGATCCTCGGACCAGGTCAGTGACAGCGACTAAACCATTGGGCCGTCAGCACCAGGTTGTCTTGAGATGCCAGATGAAGATTTTTAATTATTTTTTGGACAGAAGCTGAGATACCATTGGCTTGAACGTACTCATTCCTACGTTGATTGTGAAAAGTACAGTAGCCTCTGAAATTCTAAATTTTCTCTTTGATCCTACTTTCAACCTTTCCTGTCTTTCTCCTACTGTTCATCTAAATGGGCGGCCAAAAGACAGCCACCAAAACCGAAGCACGAAAGTGCATGATCATTAGTTGCTTAAACTGAAGCTGAAACTGCTATTGTATCTGAAATGTTTATCGGTCACTGTATTTCAATTAATTCGTATCGATATAAATATATTTCCAGTGTTGTTGTCCACTGCATATTTCGAATTCAACCATCGCCTGCAATGTACCACATTCTCTTAACGTTCGGTTCTCACGCACAGCGGACGCTCTGACCCGAGCTGGAGTTACGCACCGCATCGATGAGAGTAGTGGTTCCATTGGACGCCGATACGCGCGAACAGATCAGATCGCGATCCCGTACGGGATTACGGTCGATTTCGACACAGTGAACAAAATTCCGGCCTCCGCTACTCTGCGTGAACGAGACAGCATGAAACAGATTCGAGTACCGGTAAGAAGTCGTCTCGTGTTCTGGAGCCACAACCCTCAAGGGTTTGGTGGCTGTGGCTCTTTCTGTTTCTGATTCTTCGATTACTTCAAACCGGTTCCTTTTTTGTCGTCCAGTTTAACCACATTCCGTATCGTTCTCCGAGAGCCTCACTATGATCCGGGGTGAATGTTTTAGGTTGTGGCTGGTTGTAACATTTCCATTACGCCTCTTGAAATGCTCCTATTCGTCCAAGCGTCTCAATTCCTACCACCAAGGAAGCCTTATTCAATGCTTTCTCGTGGCGTTGTTTTCGTACCAAAGTGAGAGGACAAATGGCCAATATCCGTGGTTAGAATCGCGTCGGTAAACCGAGGAGAGTTATCGATAAATCCTGATTCCAAACCATCCAAGAGGAGGCGTACGAACCACACACACCTACCCGGTTGTGACAGCAGTCACCGGCTCGGTTGGGTATCGAGGTGTATCAGGCACCTTAGACCTTTGCCCCCGTCCAAAGGGCGTATGATCCGATGGATTGCGGTTTTGCCACACCGCTCTGCTGCTTTGTGGGTCAGGCTTTGGATAGCCAAATGCTACGCTTGTGAACTCCAGCAGAATTCACCTGCTTTTGTCTGGGTAACCTGCAGTTTTTCGCCCACAAGGAAATCATACAACGTCTTCTTTTTGTAAAGAAAAGAGTAGCCGGAACACTAGTCAAAACCGTCGCTCTGAGGTTCAAGTTCATTGATTGTTCGCGAATTATATTCTGTCGCCACTCAGAAATCCTATTATATACAAGCACACATTTTTGTTGAAATTTATTCTCCTGATATTTGCAATTACATGTTTACATGTTTGTATATAAAATCATTTGGAACTTCAGTTAGTCTGCAAATGCGAATAAGGTGGAAATGAGTACCTTTGTTAACGGTTAAAGAAATGGTTGTGTAACTGTAAATGTCTGAAGACGACAAGGTTGCGATAACACGCTTAGTCGCGCACAATTGTTTCATAATTGTGTAAGCTTAGCGGAACCGAAATTTGCGTTGCCTTCTCGCGCTACCCCGGAGACAATACCACTGATCATGTGACATCGTCTTTGAAAGTGTTGGGTCATCAGATCTTGATTGGTAGTGTGAGATCATTTGATCAAACCGGTCTTTGATAGCAATTTCTTATCTGGTGATTGTACTATCTTTCGGATTTAACTCACAGTTACTTGTGATTAGTGGTGGGGATAATTGTTTTTCTATTGATTTGAGCTGACTATCCTTCGGACTTCACCTTCACGCACAATCCTCAGTTCATCGATTCAACCATACACTCGAAAGCACTAGACTCGAGTTTCGCTCTAATTGGAGCTCATCAGTAGTGCANCCGTCCCGTCCGGGATTTGAACTCCGGATCCATCGCATGGAAGGCTTGTGTGTTGCAACTGTGCCAACCAGCTAAAGAATTGAGGACTGTGAGCGAACGTTAAGTTTGAACGACAGTCAGTCAAATCAACAAGTGATAACAAAGCTGCCTACCACCAAAGTTGAGTGGCAGCTGCGCGGGAGGGGGGTGGGACCTTCAGACCACAAGGTCCAAAGCACGCTAGTGACAGTGACTGAACCACTGCAATACCACCACCCNCCCGTCCGGGATTTGAACTCCGGATCCATCGCATGGAAGGCTTGTGTGTTGCAACTGTGCCAACCAGCTCACGCCATGGCTGAACCAAATTACCAATTCATGATTGTTCAGGTGTCGTCTTCAGTGATAGTCAGTTCATTTTGGCCCGACAGCAACGATGGGAGACACAGATGATATACTGTTAACTCCAATCGAAATCCTTCCACCAAGTCAGGATTTCGTTGCAGGTACGGACTGATTCGCCAACGAATCCACTTTTCCGGCTTCCATCCGTCCCATTAATCTGTGAAACACGTTCTGTCTGTAACTATTATGCACACGACTGTTTTCTCTGTTCAATTACCCGATGAGTTTTGAATAATCTTGCTGTATGTTCCTTCTTTCTCTCCCCCAAACGCCAGCTTCTTGAACTACCTGCTCTGGTTAGTGATCTATCCAACCGGCTGCTTGACTGGACAGAGGCACAAACCAAATACCCGGCATTTGAACAACAAGAAACCGGTAAACAAAATTAACTAACATGCTCACTCTCACACACACAAGCGTTCGCTTACCAACACATGTCCACATGAGTCATTGTACTGTTCCATGTGCGTCTCAAGTTCAAGTTGGTGTTGTACTCATTGGTTCGTATCAGAGTTCGTTGTTCTGTGTTCGGTTCTCTCCCCTACCCCGTCCTGTCCTACCTTACCTCGCCTCGCCTCGTCTGCTCCTCCCCCCCCCCACCATCCTGACCCCGATGTTGGTTCAACTCTTCCTCCGTCCACATCCGATCGTTGTTGACAACTTACTCGCCTGCATCCTAATCTCCCGAGCGTCCTAGTTTTCACACTCTTTTCTTGCTTTGTCTTTTGTCTCATGCAATTCTCTTGCCTGCGCACTCCCCTGTCTTGCTCACCCTCACCTCCTATCCCCGATGAGCGAGAGAGAGAGGCCCGGTCGCAATATATTTGCTATGCTGGATACACCCTGGTGTTCGTTTGATGTTCTATGCGTGTTCTTGGGCGTTTTTTTCAGTTCATCGTGTTTCACCGTTGTCCGTTTCCCATTCCTTATATCTGATTGACCGTTCGTCCTCCAACGAAATGGTGCTGGTGTGGACGCGGCGAATCCCAGTGGTGTTGTCGGTTCCAATTCCGTCTTGGTGTTACGGTTGTTGTTGTTGACGTACATTCTGGCACGTTCCGTGTCCCTCAAATTATAGACGGCCGTCTGGAATAGCAAGTGTTTGCAAGACTACCGACAGTTGCATACGACAGCTAGTAGCAGGAAATAAGATGTAGTTAAGCGGTCGGATATCGTTGTAAGCCTCTGTTCTATCTCACAGTTCAGTCCGTATCTGGACGAACCGATTGTCAATACACGCGTCCGTCGACCATTATTTGTTGCACACATATTGCACACTCAAGGTCGAGCTGTGTGCAAGATGTACCTATTTACTTAAAACAAATGAATGAAACAGTCTTGGATATCATCCGGTTTTGTGTATGAGCAGCGTGATTTCTTTATAACCGTTTGCACGGATCAAATGATCCTGATCACCGGGAAAATGATCGAAATATCATGAGTCACGCGTCCGGTCGATCAGCCATATGACTGACTGGTTTACAAAAAAGAAACCGATGATATCTAGCTTAGCTGTAAATCATCGGTTCAACAGTGCTCTCTCACTCGTAGCCTATGATATCGCGCCTAGCACGTTTGTTCTGAGTCTTGTTTAGCAGTAAGACAATCGAAAAAGTCTGGCTTGATTTCAAGGTCATGAATGTGATTTGCTCCAACCCGTCTGGCGGAATTTTCATCCCCACAATGATTGGGGGATCATTTTTAACAATCTGGATCTCTTCACTGCACGGCCTACAAATTCTTCATCTGACCACCTTGTTTGTGCACAGGCTATCCGTTTCAATCCCGGAGAATATATATATATATATATATATATATATATATATATATATATATATA